GGGGGTAATCAATGTTTCTGTTGCAGCAGTGTGTGTGTGTGTGTGTGTGTGTGTGCACTGGTGTGTGTGTTTATAATGTCAAAGCCCAGTGATGTGTGATCAATGTGACATTGTTTGTGTGTGTGTGTGTGTGTGTGTGTGTGTGATCATGTCTCACAGCCATCACTGCAGTAATAGGACTCTCCTGGTAATGCCAGGCCAGGGGGCAGAGACCCCTGTTTTACTGGACACTTTTAGATTTTTCCAATCAACAAAAGGGAAATAGCAAAGTAGTCCTGGAGCCGAGGAGCGGTAGTTGAGCCAGGCAGCAGAGGAGTGAGGAGTGGAACCACCGCTCGACTGAAGCTCTGACGTAGACGGACTTTATTCACACACAGAGGTTTTTTGAACACTGTAAACCATCAGCTAATGTTGTCTTGAGATGTTTGTTTTCACCTGTGTTAAACACTGTTATATTTTATATTCCCTGCTACTGATAATTCAAACTCACAGAGCAGATATTTATTCTCCTCCTTCTGTTTGTTCTTCTGACTCACTCTTCAAACTCTGAACCTGTCAATCATCTTAAGACCAAACTTCATCCATGTTTCACCTTTATTTTCTTTTTTCCACAGAGACATCGTCCGTCGTTATCAGCCTGAGACGTTCGCTCTTCGTCCGGTCAATTAATAACCAGCGCTGATATTAGCCTGTTTGCACTGGCAGGCGGACAATGAGAGCACACATCTCTGATGACGCCATCACGTTATCTGTGCAAAGTTGACAGTTTGCTGCTCTGACACTTCCTTGTTGGCTGGACAGTCAAAACAAACACTGAGGTTTTTTTTTTTTTACCACAATCAGGTGAACGATGTTTGTTGTAGATTTTCACTTGAATATGAATAAAAAGCTCTTTGTTCAGAGCTCTGTTAAATAAAACCTGGTTAACAGTAAAACCATAAAGGATTACATTTAATTATTTACTTCTTTATTTCAGAAATGCTTTAATATATTGACCTGTATGTCACACATTTATCAAAATGATTTCATTATATAAATTTATCATTTCTAATAAATCAGTGCTGCTCACAGGGCCACAGTTATTTTTCATTATTCTTATTTTCTTCCTTCTGCCACATGTTGGTCGTTACAGAACCTCCGACTAACATCGTATTTATTGAGCCAATCTATCTCGTGACCCATAACTCACCTGCAGCACTTGAAATGTGTAGCATGAACATCCAGGGAGCAGATTGACTCGTGCTGCGCTGAATATTCTTTACAATAAATCTTTTTATATCAACCGGTTTTTCCTTTTTACTCAACACTCTCTGGTCGCGACTCTTTTTTTCTGCCGCGTCCTGTGAAGAAGAAAGCCGACCTTTATGGCTGCTGAGCGGCACAAAGGTTTGCAGAACCTCTTCACCCACATTCACCTTGATGCAGCACGGCTTCCTGCTACTGCGAAGTCCAAAGGTGTCTGATATTATAACAAAAGAATGGGTTCGACGCTCGGTAACATGTGAGGAGAAGAAGGAGAGGAGAGCAGCAAGGTGCCATCAGTGCAGAGAAATAGGAGTGAAAAGGATGAAAACCTATAAATGAAAATCAATAGGAGAAGGCAGGAAGGCATAAGAACTGGGGGGAAGGTAATAGAATAGACTAAAGATAAATAATGAGGACAGGAGGAAGGAGAAAGGAATGAGAACGGGGAGTAGAAAGAAGAAGACCATGAAAAATGAGAGGACAGTACAATCAGGAGAATATATTTGTTATTGTACGGCTGTCCTTCTCTTTCATCCAGGGTTGGTTATCGAAGGACAATGGAAACGTCCTGGTTTGGACACGAGTGACTGTCGACCACTGTTGGATAAAGAAAATAAAAATAAAATTGTTTTTTCAGTCCTTGAGTTAACAAGGAACGACTCAAGAAGAACATTTGTACAATGTCAGGAAACATCGTCAGTGTTTGTTCATTTGATTTTTGTATGTTTTCTGGTAAATGACACAAATTAAACTTTTGAGACAGACTTCAGTTTCTAAAGGAGCGACGGAACTAGATTTCTGCTGTAACCAAAGCTGTCTTTGCCGTCCATAGAGCCACGTGACAACGTAGTGACCGACCAGTTTCCTTGGGACAGATTTTTAAACGGAGCTAACGTTTTTATAAAGGTTTCCAACAGTCGGACTGAGAACAACAACAAGGACGGCTGAAAGATCATCAAACATTTCCACACCATCCCGGGGTGAACGTGTCCATAAGTATGAATGTTTGCTCCGACCACATGGTGTTTGTGTAAAATAAGCTGTTTAATGTGATTTGGAAACAGGGCTGATGGATCGCAGCGTCTGGACTATTGATATGTTTCTGTCCATCACAGCCAACGTTATTTCAACACCACCATCGATCAGCTTCAACAACAGCCAGGTCACATGATACTGAGCTGGGTTACAGGAAGCATGAGTGAGTGAGTGTGTGTGTGTGTGTGTGTGAGGGACAGATAGAGTATAATTTTGAGCACACGACGCAGAGTGCTGCAAAAATGAAGCAGGCGTCAGATGAATTCACACTCCGACCTCCAACCCACCCAAAAGAGAATCAAATTACTGATAAAAAATCTAAGGAACGATGATGATCAGCACCTGTGTGTGTGTGTGTTTGTGTGTGTGTGTGTGTGTGTGTGAGGAAGGATGACCCTAAACCTCACCCTTAATCATGAATGAGAGCAGATCCTCCAACATCACACTGTGCACCTCTCTGGACACAGGCCAAGTAGGAAAGGGAGGCTGGCACACACACACACACACACACACACACACACACACAGCACCGGAAGCACTGAGGCCAGTTCCATCTGTGATTCTTCAAAGAGTTTGTCTGATATTGATTTGGTGCCGAGGTCGGCAGCTGGTTCAGGCAGAGTGGAGCGTTCAGGAGGCCACGGCCACGGACCTTGAGCTGAAACACACGGCAACAAAGTCTCCCAACACAACACACCCCGAAACAAATAACGTCAGCCGCACACGCACCACCACCTGCACTGGGACGTGCACTGGGACGTGCACTGAGACGTGCACTGAGACGTGCACTGGGACGTGCACTGGGACGTGCACGCCTCCTCCCACGACGGAGAAGGAGAAGGAGCTGCACTTGATGGAGAGCAGGAGAGAGAGGGAAGAGGTGGTCTCTCTGTGTGTGTGTTTGTTTGTTTGTTGTGGGCAGACACACACACACAGAGGCAGACACACACACACAGACACACACAGACACAGACACACACAGACACACAGACACAGGATTAGTTGTGTTTTTTGAGAAAGTGATTGAGGATCTTAAATCCAGCCGTGTCTCTGACTGGAGGAGCTCCAGGCTGAGGCTGTGTGTGTGTGTGTGTGTGTGTGTGTGTGAAGGCTTTGGCTTTTTCTCTAGATAATTTGCCTGTGTTTTACAAGGTGATCTGTGCTGAGTGCTAATGTTTAAAACCAACAAAAAATACTTGTTTTGACCTCCAGTGAGAAGAAAACAGACTGAGCTGAAAGAATTTCAAAATCCAGTTTCTGTAGATGTTGATGCAGCTGTAAAGTCTACATCTGTATAGTTTCATTGATAAAAAAATAGAATTAATTTTTCCCCTGACCTAGAAAGTCGTTTTTTTTTCATTGCAAATGTTTTGTTTCCAAACTTAAATGTCTGTAGTAAAGAAAAAACATATTTGAGTGGAAGGAAAAGTTTCTTAAAAACAATCAGTTTATTCTTTCACACACAAACATCATGTGTGTGTGTTTGTGTGTTTGTGTCACTTCCTGTTTTAGTCTAGAATTCACCTGTGTCCTGATTGGTTCTCTGACCACCTGCACCTGTGGCCAACGGTCTTTGTTTCTTCTTCTGGTGGCAGATGTTCCAGAACCTTCCACTCAGGTTCCGTCCTGTTTTCTGTCCCTTCTACTGCCCGGTGGACTGGAGATTTTTGTGTCGTCTGTTTTACCTCCAAGTCTGATCTGAGTTCAACCTGGTCAGGTGACTCAGAGTTCCTCCCTGACTTTGGACCACGGTACAGGAATAGAACCTGGAACCTTTTCCACGGCAGGTAAGAATTCTACCGTTTGGTTTCTCTCTCACATTAAATATGTTGTTGTTGAAATACTTTCTTCATACTGCAGTACACCCTTTTAGTCAGTAGGAGTTTCTTTCTGTCTTTCAGTGATGTCATTCATTTTGTGAAGCTTCAACTTCAACTACATGCTCTTAAAAACTGCCCTTAAACCAAATGTCACAGGAGATAAAGCCACGTTCCACTGATGACGCTCTGGTGTTTAGTGTTGGCTCCACCACAGATACACAGGTCTGATAGGACAACAACAACACATGGGCGTGCACGTGCACGTGCACGTGCCCCCCACACACTCTGCCACTGCCGTCATCATTCAGACTAATCCCCTCACAGACCCCTCGTGCTGCTCTTTGAACGCAGAACAAAGTCTGTTCTGGGCTTTAAACATCAGCACAAAGACACAAATACAAAAACCTGCTGAGGCTTTTGACCTTTTCTCCAGGATTACAGTTTTCACACAGCGTTCAAGGAATTCAGCTTTCGTATCTGCGCAGCTTTTCAAACAGTTTCCCTGCTCCTTCATCTCTGCTGATGGTTGAATATGACAAACACCACAGAGAGAATGTCAGGCGGACAGAAACACTGAAACTAAGGACAGACAGCTGTCTGTCTGTCTGTCTGTCTGTCCAGGGGCTACAGGGAGATGACCAGGGCTCGGGGGGGGAGGTCCTGCCCCATACTCCCCATACTAGTGGTGTGTCGTGGTACTGTCACGTAAAACACCCAAAGGAAATGATTATTTATTTTTCCTATATTTTGATAAAGTGTCAAATGATTCAAATTTTTGATCATGATTAGGGATTAAAGAACGTCTCTCTGTCTGTCTGTCTCTCTGTCTGTCTGTCTGTCTGTCCAGACAATATTCCAGGACAATTCCTGTATTCAACTTCCAGGTTCTGGGTTCATGCCAGGGTTCCAGGTTTTGGGTCTACGGTGCTGGAGGGTCAACAGTTCCCTGTGGGTTTTCAGCGACTCATTCCAAGATAATTATCATTACGACAGCTCTGGGCTTCGTCTGTTGATTACATCACAGAGCGCAGCTCTGGTTTCCTGGTATCCGGCTTTAGGAGACAGTTTTTCATGTGCACAAATATTGATTCGACTGTCGGGTGAACACGGGGGAACATATGTGAATTTGGTTTCAGTCAGGCTGACTATTTTTAACAGGTGTTCTGGCAGCAGTGTGTGTCTTTGGATTTAGTGTGTGTGAAAAAAGTGTGTGTGCATTCATTTTATTTATTAGTTCATTCAAACACAGACACATGTGAACAGAAACAAACTTCACTAAAAGAACTGACTGTGGTTATTGGACTGTGTTCTAATTGATCAAACTCTCAGCCTCTGTTTCTGTCTCTGTTGATTAGGTCTACGACAACTGCCCCAGAGACACCAACAACTGCACCAGGGACACTGACAACTGCACCAGGGACACCAACAACTGCACCAGAGACACCAACAACAGCACCAGAGACACCGACAACTGCACCAGAGACACCAACAACTGCACCAGAGACACCGACAACTGCCCCAGGGACACCAACAACTGCACCAGAGACACCGACAACTGCACCAGGGACACCAACAACTGCACCAGGGACACCGACAACTGCACCAGAGACACCAACAACTGCCCCAGGGACACCAACACCTGCCCCAGAGACACCGACAACTGCACCAGAGACACCAACAACTGCCCCAGGGACACCAACACCTGCCCCAGAGACACCGACAACTGCCCCAGGGACACCAACAACTGCACCAGGGACACCGACAACTGCACCAGAGACACCAACAACTGCCCCAGGGACACCAACACCTGCCCCAGAGACACCGACAACTGCACCAGGGACACCGACAACTGCACCAGAGACACCAACAACTGCACCAGAGACACCGACAACTGCCCCAGGGACACCAACAACTGCACCAGGGACACCGACAACTGCACCAGAGACACCGACAACTGCCCCAGGGACACCAACAACTGCACCAGAGACACCGACAACTGCCCCAGGGACACCAACAACTGCACCAGAGACACCAACAACTGCCCCAGAGACACCAACAACTGCACCAGGGACACTGACAACTGCACCAGGGACACCAACAACTGCACCAGAGACACCGACAACTGCCCCAGGGACACCAACAACTGCACCAGGGACACCGACAACTGCACCAGAGACACCGACAACTGCACCAGCTGGAGAAATCTTCACCCTTTTATCTGCTCTGTGACTGGAGGTTGATGATGATGTTTCACCAGAGAAGAACAGGAGAGAATGTGAGTAGTTGGTTCTTCCTCCTTGGTTCTTCCTCCTTGGTTCTTCCTCCTTGGTTCTTCCTCCTTGGTTCTTCCTCCTACTGAAGAATGAAAACAGAGTCTCCTCTGTTTTCATTCTTCAGTACAACAACATGTTTGTTGATTATTAGGTTGAGATGAAGTTCAGTCCAATGTCAGATCAGTGAGAGCCTGACTGGTGGCACGTCTCCATTAGTGGCAACATTAATTTCCCAACCTGGTCAAGACAACAGTGACTGGAGAGAAGAGCCAACACAGAAGGCTGCACCACAAATGACTGCATTGATTATGTTTAGAAAAGGCAAATATTTCCAAATAACAAACACGTCAGTTTGACAGTTAAAGCTCTTACAGAGTCCACAGAAGAATGGAGCAGCAGCAGCAGCAGCAGCAGCAGCAGCAGCAGCAGCAGCAGCTGTGACCTGCAGCGTGTCGTCCATGTCTGATAAACACCAACATGAGAACACACACACGCACACACATTTGTATGTGTGAGTATCGGTGATTCCGTGTGTGTTTGAGCAGCACCAGGAGTCAGACGCACACACACACACACACACACACACACGGTTTGCTCTGCTGTTGACGCCTCAGCAAATCAATACGTGCAATTCTCGAGAAATACCGTATCACCATGGCAACTGGGCCTCCTGCCCTACGGTGAGGAGAACTGCAGAGCATGTGCTCTGGTTTTTGCTCCACACTTCACTCGTCTCCCACAGAGTTTTGTGTAATTACGGTGGCAGATGAGCGACAGGGCGGTTTTAGCCGCGTCGTGTTCGTTACAGGAGGTTGGGACGCGACCATGTGACCTGAGGTGACGTTGACTCTCTGTGCCTGCGTGTGTGTGTGCGCCTCAGTGTTTCATAGTATTAGTAATTTTTACTCAGGGGGGTGAGGGGGGAGTCACACCCTGACAAATTATAAATATGCGGGCGTTTTCAGGAACAAGACATTTCCACGTTTTGTTCCTGAAATAATCCAACCATTAATTCAAATGTTTCCCATTTGGATTTTTAATAAATAATACTATAAAGTAAGTTGATATTTGTAATCATTTTAATGAGATCATTCTAGAAGATATATATGACAAAACATGCACAACATCATTTGACCCTGTTTAGTAGAAAAAATGCAGTGAAAATACATGAAAGGCAGAAGATTAGATATAAGGCTTAATTACTGTCAATAATATATAAAACATATATTTAGAAGTTAGTTTTATACAGTATTAAATTCATATTTGTCATGTGATTATTTTCAGTGAAACGTCTAATGCATGTACAAAAATAAAATAAAATCCATGACTGTCTTTTATTCCTGATCTTGTTCAGAGGAAACATACAAACTCAGATTGTTGATTGGCTCAAAAAGAGGACGTGTGAGTGGCACCTCAGACTAAAATCAATGACACATTCATCAGTGACATTCATGGACTGTCACGTCTTAAAGGGAACCTAAAAAAAAAAAGAAAAAAGAAACCGAGCTGGTTATGATGCTCTCTTTAAAAATACATTCAACGTCGTGATCAATACTGTCTGTTTGTTGATGTAGGAGAAAGAAGCACAGCATCCATTTGTACTGGTTCTGGAAGTTTTTGTATTAAACCATGAAAGGCAGAGGAAAAACAAACATCTGAAGCTTCTCAGTGTGGATGAAGACGTGATCAGACCAGGTCAGAGTGTGGGCGTCGTGTTTAAGGCCGGATACACGGGATCAACAGAAAAACAGACACAGGGAAGGTGATGTTAGTTCAGTGGTTGTTGGTGTCAGACGTCTGTGTCTGAGGCCACACATGTAAATGACGCAGCTCACTGGACTCACTGGACTCACTGGACTCACTGGACTCACTGGACTCACTGGACTTCAGAGCGCTCTCTTTACTGCCACATGTTTAGTCTGGTTTTCACTTCTAAACCATTCCAGTCTAACAGACAGAGGAGTCTCTGCAGATGAACTCTCCCTCAAACACTGCACCAAAACCAAAGACACATCACCACAAACTATAATGAAGGAAAACTCCGTTATTTCATGTGCACAAATCCACTGTCACAGAATGTCCCTTTAAAGTTGAATGATTTCCAAGAACAAACATCACAGTGAGGCTTCACACCCAGCAGTGAAACAGTAGATGATGTGGTGTAGACTCAGGTGCACTCTCACATATATATATGTGTGTGTGTGTCCAGCACATGTGTGTATGTGTAGACTCAGGTGTGTGTGTGTGTCCAGCACATGTGTGTCCATTTTACCCACTGCTCTGATTGTCTGCTTATGGAATGGAGGCCACGGCTACTGGAAGTGAATTGGATTGGTCTTCACTCTCCCCCAATCACTTAGAGCCGGTGCATCAGCGCGTGTCATCCATCATGTGGACCAGGACGTACAGCAGACAAGTGGTGCATCAGCATTCTTCAGGGCCTCAGCAGTCTCCGTGCTCTGGACCAGGGTCCAGCTGACCGACCAGCCACCATTACACCCAGCTGATATCACACCACCTCGCTGGCCCAATGGTGGCGCACTCGAGTCAGAGGCTTTTAGTTTGTTCAGTGTCACCGGGGTCAGGTGCAGCTGTAATGTTTTCCCACCAGAGGGTGGATGAGGGCCGCAGTACTGGGACAGTCCAGCAGTCCTGTACGACAGCCTGTGGGTGAAGGTGTCGTCTGTCACGGTGGTTTGGCAGAGTTTGTACAGCTGACACACAGTATATACACATATGTATATACACACATATATATACAGTATAGTATATACACATATACTGTATATACAGTATATACACACATATATATACAGTATATACTGTATATATAAGCAGTATTTTCATGGAGTATTGTCTTTGTGTCTTTACCAAAGGAACACACACACACACACACAGATGTGTGTGTGTGTATAACCCTACATTATCCACAACAAACATAAATCCTTTATAAAGACACTCTTAGGAAAATGAAACGTTGGCGTACGGAGTGGCTGATAAGTGCTGGTCTAATCCTCATATTGAATGGCACTTTGTGCTGAGAACATGCTTTGGAACACCACATAAAGAAATGGATATTGAGACCTGATCTTTATAGTACTGCAGGCAGTGCAGTACTGCGTGGGTGGTCCAGTGGGTACTACTACCTGATACTTCAGATTCAATTTTCCAATATCTTGACTTTCTCTTTATTTATTTTTTTACCCAGGTAATGTTTGGGTCGACAGAAATACATCAATTATTTTGTTGTATGAACAACAACAACAACAACAACAACAACGCCACACAGTGGATGGAGTTGTTGTTGCTTTTCACCCGTCACTGATTATTTACCTTTGCTTAGATGATCTGCAGCCAAGGTATAAACCTCATATCCACTGGGTGGAATGCAGTCCCAGACCCTTACAGAGCCATCTCCAATTTTTACCCAGAGTTCTTAAAATGTAGTTTTTTACACTTGATTTCCTGTTGATATATTGGAAATATATTTTTTATTAATGAATTAATTTCTTTTATTCCACTGAGAGCGTATAAGCCCCGCCCACTGTAATAGATCTGACAGGTGATAAATCACTGGTGATAAATGGTCTCCTTGTTAACATACAGACGTTTCTCAGCCCAGTTAGATCTCAGTCTCCAACACAGTTACACACCATATTCCCCTGAGCGGGCGATCGACAGGGCAAACATCAAGAAGTGCCCTCGTCTGTAGCCCCTCGGTCCTCAGTGTGTCAAAGCCCACCCTCTTGACCTCCACACTCCAGATTCCCTCCTCACACCTGTGGTCACATGAAACATTCAAAGGCTACTGCTGCTCTGACACGGGATGTGACACACACACACACACACACACACACACACACGAGAACCTGAATTGTGACGTTAACCCGTGTTCCTGAAACGGTGAATTAACCACTAACGTCTGATGATAACTAGTCTTCTTGAGGTCAGCTTTCATCTGGAGAAGCTTCTAAAATATTAACAAGCTGTAGAAAATAATATGTATAAACATATATTCATTAACTGAGCTGCAGCTAAAACTAAAGTAACAGACTTGTTCTCAGATGAAGCTCATATTCAGGCTGGACGCCGAGGACCAACCGTCTGTTTAGAACACGACACATACAGTGGCTCTGCTGTACGACATGTAATCCTATAGTGGAGACGCTGCACTCCCCCATCCTCATTAGGGGGTTTGAATTCCTGCAGCCAGCCTGTGAGCATGTGCAGCTTGGGGGGGAACTGTATCCCACGCCACAGCGGGCAGACGGAGGTGGCGCCTCTGCAATTTCATTTTGTTTAAAAATACTCCCCAAATGTTGTTAGAGTTGCATTAAAGGATCCTGTGTTAAAACAGGCAGTGAGGGAGGATTGAATCAGCTCACCACCGTGGGCTGCCACTTCTCACAGCTCCACTCTGCATTAAAGCCCTGTTGGGTTTCACTCTCAGCAGGAGACAACGCTGCAGCCGCCCACGCTAACTGAATTAATTTCTCTCTGTTGTTGGATATACAGCACCTGTGGATACGACTCAGCCCGTTGTCTGTAATTAATGTCTGAACAACAAAGTAATACCTGCTGACAGCTTCTGTCTGCCCATCAAGACTGGGACTCTGCTGCGTGGAAATCCCAAAGAGGAAGATCAAGAAAGAAAGAAAGACCGTGCTCTCTGGGCCAGCCAAACATCATTCAATAATTACTTATGATTTAAGTAAAAAATAGATCAAATAAAAACAGGTTAAATGGCTCACAAAGAAATATATACAGTTATATAAATATATAAAACATATTCGTCATAATCAAAGTTTGACTGATGTGAAACGATGTGTTCAACCTTTCTGTCGGCCAAAACTCGACTGGGTGTCAATACAGAGCATGTAATGAAGAGAAAATATAGACAGATGGCAGCAGAGCACGAGATTTTTATTTTTATTATTTTATTTTATTTTTTTACACCAAGCTTTACTTAAACTTGGTGTAAAAAAAGACAACAGAGGTTCCACTGTTGCCTTTCAGCCACTCAGTCACTCCTAACTATTGCCCTGTTAATTTTGGGTCAACATTTACCAGAGATTTAATTTAGTTTATTATTAATTTTAGCATTGCTAGAAAAACAAACAAAAGAATTCCATGTGGAGATACAGTGTCAACGTCTCACAGGTGTTGGGTGAAAACTGGAGCTTTGAATGATCATCAACCTCAGTGTGTGTGTGTGTGTGGTATCGTGTGTGTGTGTGTAGACGTTAGATTGCATTTTTGACAGTGAGAAGAGTAAGAGCACATGAAGCAACATCTGTGCTCAGGGCTGAAACGCACGTCGCTGCCATTCTTCTTCCAAATGTTGTGTTGAATCTTTCAGCAGAACACAAGGAAAGTCTGTAAAAATTCATCTGCAGCTGCTGAAGGAAACTATTGATTTCCCTCCAGTCTGAATGCCTGGGACGAGCTCGGCCAAGTGGGATTTTAGTCCATCCTCGCCGCCTCGCTGCTTTGTTTAGACTTAAGACTCTCTAAACTTATTGGAATCATTCCACATGCTACGATGTAGTCAACCATACCATTAGGACGGAAACGGAGCCGCTGCAGACAGAATGTTCAAGGCTGTTGGACTGAGGAGCTGTTTGAGAGGAGAAAGAGGAAAAAAAAATAGAGAAAAAAACACTAAATGTATTTGTCTGTAAAAAGATCATGACTGAAGGAGATACAACATTTTAGTGCAAAATCTTTTCACACTTTAATTTAATACATTTTTTCTAATTTGGAAAATATAAAAGATTTATTTTGTATTTTTTGCCATTTAATCTTAATCTTTTTTTAATCTTTAATCATCTTCTGCCTCATAGAAAACTCACCATAATGACTTACATTTTCAGCAGTGTGTGTGTTTTCTGCTCCTGGTTGTTG